CTCATTAAATAGAATCAACATTATTAATAAAACACAAATAAATCGTTTCTTTTCTAATTATAAGGTTTAATATGGAACACAAGTGGATTTTGTTATGAATTGTTGTGAATTCCCGTATCTAAGTACAAGGGCAACAAGGCGTATAGAGGACGCGGAGGCAAAGCTCTACGGTGTAAACTCTAAGGTGTGTGGTCAACATCAGGTTCAGATAGATTTACTTTCAGTGAAATATGAAAGGATATTTGTTTGCTCTCCTGTTTTATGACGCTCTTGTTACTGATCTAATTATTTGTCGCTTTCAGTGGTTACATAGCATTGAGCAGTAGAAAAATTGTGAATGACATTTCAGAAATAATATGGAGTGGCCGTGACCTAATTTAAAAGCTATACCGGTAATATAACAGAGAGACAGAGAAAAAGCATGACATATTTATGAGAATAGATGAATTACTCACCAGAAACATTTATATATTTATTAGAATCTTAAGGCATTCTTCAGACCCAGCGGACTCCGGTTTGAATCTCAGCCCGGAAATCTGTTATCCCGATAGAATTGCTTTTTATTTTCCTCAGTTTCTCAAGGCACATGCTCGAAAAACACCTTAAAACAGGCCACGGCCACAGCCACTAATTTTTAAATATGCCATTAATAATCAAACTATCATTTGTCGTTAGCCTTTCTTATCTGTGCAGATATAAATAGCTCTAGTAAAGGAATTGGAGAAATAAGAGACTTATACAAGCTGACAGTCGTGTATCTCACTATGGGCCAGTTCTTGTTTCTTAAGGAGGGAGCAAAGGGTGTGTGCAACCAGGGGCTGAGAAATGCAGGGCAGACCGAAGTGTAGAATTTACTGGGAAATTTGTCTCTTTGTAGCCAGAAACTCATGTAAATAGCATTCAGTGCCCACCTCCAAGAAACCCCACTCCACCACAGTTACAAACAAAGGCCGTGAAGAAAAATATTCTTTCCTGGTTTGGTTGTTTAACGACGTCCTCCGTTGCTAAGATTTAATAACATGGAATGATTCAGTTATTACTGAATAAAGGATTTAAGAAGATAAGAAAGGAAGTAGTCGTGGTATACTTGAATCTACTTTCACTTTTACCTGGAGAGACTGTGAAAAATCCAGAAAACTGACAGTAACGCTTTCAGTTTCGCGGACAAAACTTAGTGAGTCTACACAAAATATTTAAGGGCGTGTATGTATCTGTCGTTGATTCTGAACTTTAAATAAAGTGCGTGAAATATTCTAGCCCAGCCGCCACTGCAGTACACCTGTGCAGTACCATCTTGCGGGCGAATCCATCGTTAATACATATAGCTACATCAGAGAAACGTTGCGTGCGGTCTAGTGTGGATGTGCGTGTTTCTATCTGCTGACTGTGCATTAATAACCGCCGTAAATAAATAGTTTGTGTGGTGAAACAGCATCCAGTTGCGTTTACTAGACGATTTGCAGGTGTTAATTTATTATTTCACCGCAATTCATGCGAATTAATAGTTGTCAGAAACTTCTAGAAACTACTTGGTATTAGTTTGCCAGCTGACGACAAAAAGTAGTTCCTAGTACTTATCACTTGACGTTCTTTGCAATAATATCCAAGTCTTCACGCAATTCTTTTTTATAGCTTTTAAGTTCAGAAATTCTAAATTTCGACTTGAATTGTATATTGCGGGGTCAGGAAATGCATAATTATTCTTTACGATATACCTTCCAATATGGATAACTAATTGTAAAAGTTTGTAGGCATTATGGCGCCTTTTTTATGAGGTTAAAACATCAGATATGTTAGGTATTCTGAAATGAACAGCTTCTGTAGACATTCATAGATGTTTGTTTGCCGAATTTCACGATTTATATTCTATAAATGCAGAGCCTGTATTGTAAAATTTGTAGCCATGTTTAATCATGCTTTTGTCATTGACGGACACCTCATAGCAACAGCAAAGTGAAATTTTCAATGATAAGTGTTTAAATTTGTTTCCTTGGACATTAATCGAAGTGAAAATGTAGAAAATCCGTGTCAGTATTAAATATTGCGTTCTTGAATAATTTGGCATACAGGTAAAATGTTGTTGCTGTTATGCACAGAGCTGTGACAGCCAGTGGCAAGTGAACTTGTTACCGAAATTTGTAAATCGCTGTTAAACAATACAACGGTTTAAATACTGGGATTCAATCCAAGTACGTTTCAGGTAAATCAGCAGTGTATGGAGTGCGGTACTTGAACAGTGTTAAGAATGAACAGCAGTTTATAAATATCGTCAACAAATATGTCTATCACTGGCTATTCCATCCGTCTGCCCTCTGAATAACTGTTTTTAAATCTTATCCCCCTTTTGATATTTGATATGCGTATCCTTTTAAACGTGCTGTCTAAATGACAAGCCCATCTTGAATTCCTTGATTTATTTGTCACCAACTAAATACATAAATCGCCAGTTATGTAGCATTACAGTATTCTGGGGTAGTATAATTACAGAATTAACAGGCAAATCATCTCGGTGGCAGACAGGTTGTGAGTCTATGGTTCGCGAGTGTCATTTCGTGGTTTCAAAACTGAATACAGTCTGTCGAACTTAACGGACATTCCTTTATTTAGGACAAGTTTAGTATTATAACTACTATAACGCGTTTCAAAGCACTGTAGTGTTTGTGGTTTAGAATCCGAAGAGACTGTGAATTCTACGACTTCGTCTTTGACTTTGGGGCAAAGTGTGCCGTGAATTGTGTGTGCGTGTGCGATCGCAGTGGCCCTTCAACTGCTGTGTACAGTGTTGTGTTTCGTCGTGTCCTGCCTGTCAACGGCTACAGCGTTCCAGTTGAAGTGGCAGTTGCAAACTTGGAAGTCCAGATTCAGACGAGGCAGACTTCAAACCGGGGGTCATGACAAGAGGAGCTACACGCAAAACGTAACGTTAAAATTAGTGCCGGCCGAACTCTTAGTGGTTGAGGACCCATCCGCTGGAGGAAGGGCTGGGTACTTGCAGCAAATCAGGTACGCCATAACATCGGCACGGTCTTATCATGTTAGCCCGGCCCCAGGCTAGTTATGATAATAACATAGTATCGTGCCAGGCAACTCTGTATTTGATGCGGTAGCCATCATGACGAAGGGCATGTTAGGTTAAGGTCAAGTTGGCAACCCTGTGCATTTTATATATTTTTTAATATTAATGCTTAAGTTTAACCTGTCCTCCCGCCCTCCCCCGTAGGACCCGTGGTTAGGATTTCTGGTTGTGTCGTGAAGTTAGCTTTTGTGTCCAGTTCTTGCTGGCATAATGGACGTTCAGTCAGGAGGTTTTAGTTTTAAGTATTTGTGTGTGTGTTTTTTTCTTAATCACAGGGTGCTTAACTTGACAGGTTCAGTCGGCACGACCAATTAATGTTTGCGAGGAGAGAAGAAAAAAGGCCTTTTGCATTCCCAACCATTGAATAACTTGCATAATTGTTTGGACAAAGATTCAATTTAACATTCAACATAATTAAATTTGATTTTATTGGCCTTTCACTTCATTGTTGATAGATCTGTTTGAATTTATGAAGATATCAGGAATTTTATGAAGTGAGTTTGTCCATGTGTATTATGCTGTGTTTCTAGTTCAAAATGAGTTCAGGATTCTACATTAGAGAAAGACTTCGAAAGTTGTTGTTGAAGCGCAGTACGTGAGCGAATAATGAAAATAATTTAGCCTTGTACATTTTCAGTAACCGATCTGTGACATTACGTTTCATATGCCTGTCACCGAAATGCGTTGTTTTAGAATCGTACATGAATAATAAATAACTGGCATTGATATATTTTTATTTAAACAAATAAGAGTTTGGGTTATCACTATTTTTGGTTACACTAGAGATGGCGAATTTTTTTCATAAGCATCAGGGTAAGTTGGACGAATGTCTTCGATAGGGCCTGGTTTTTTTAAACGTTTTAATTTAGAAAGCAATGGAGCGTCGCTCTAATACGATAATGGAAGCTGCATTTTCAGCATCATAAACCACCAACGTTTCGTTTTGCGAACAGTACTCAGTAATTGACAGAAAATAAGAATTTTTACTTCATTATCCGTCTGTTCCCATTCCTCGTTCTGGATGGTGTACAGTTGTATTTTACATTTTATTGAGTTTTATTTGTTTATATTAACAACTGCGATGAATAAACAGTGCTCTCAATTACCTAAGTCTTCTGTTATTAGAGATATTAAAACGTGCATCGTATTAAATATGTAATCGAATTCTGCATTGAAGTTAAGATGTGTGTAACAGAAGAGAGACCTCAATTACTGACATGACAGGTAAGTTGTGTACGTTCATGTTTTAATTCAAATTTGTTTGTTGCTCATCTGGTACAAGTTGTTTTGTTTGTTTCAGGTCCCGCTCATATCTTGTGCTTCACCGTGGTGGGAGGGTGAAACAATGAAGAGTGCAAGCTTGAAATTGAAACCATTGATACACTGAGTGAAAAAACCTCGATTTTGAGAAAATCATAGGTTTATATGATTATAATTTCTGATGCGTACATTTAAATTGGGTTTCAAACAGTCAGATTTGTGTCCCGCACAAAAATCTAAGCACCAAATTTATAGTATGCTTTTCAGATTGTAGTAGTTCCAGAATCACTGCGGATAGATGGCAGCATGAAACGCGTGCTGTCCTGCAGCCCGGAGTTTTGAATGTTGGTATTTCCTGTGGACCGGAGCAATGTAGCCAACCACATATAACATAACGGCATAAAATAAAATGTACTGACCACCATCAGAAACTCAGATCTTGAAAGATTTATTATATCATAATTTCTAATTAGAACTTTGCGATGGCATAAGAATGTAGACATTGTAGGTCTGTATACGTAGGTGTAAAAGCTAATGTGTGATTTTGCAAGTTACGAACAACTTTGGCTTTCGGGAATCATTCTTGGAATGTTAAAAGTTGTTTCGCAAATGTTGGTTAAGATGTTATTTTCCAGCTCTATCATAGCCAACCTATGGAAAATTACTGCGCGCCATTCTTTAACTTGTTCACCAAGCTTCTGTCATCGTTCTTTAGTATCATCTGATGAATTCTAGTGTTCGTTTGTGTAGTGGTAACATGTTACTTTTGTACACTGTGAATTCCTAAAAGACACTTGTCTAGATTTACGAAGATTAAACTTACATTGTTTTGGATACCCCACGGGATTTGGAGAGTATAAAAATTTCTGGGGTTGAGTTCGGCAGAAGTTTCGTGGGTGGTGTAGTAACGCCTGTGGTTATTACAGAACACTGATTCGTATTCCGGTGTGCGTGTTTGTATTTGTAGGATACAAGTTCGTTGGTGTCACGAGATTTCGTAGTAATTCGATCAAGAGCTTTCCCGTTATGAAGCCCGGAGGTTTATCACCATAATAAAACAATTTCAAGCCCACTGTCGAATCCTGGACCTCGCCTGAAACAAGTCACGTCTTCATATTTTGGTTGTCGAAGACTCATTTTAATAATATCCTTTCTGAGTATTTTCAGGTGTTTGGAAAGCAGGCTGTAAGATAAAGTAAACTGAACTGTAGCTTATTTTGCTCATAATTTCATCATGAAATTGTCTCCCCCAAGTTTTATCATGCTTTCAGAGAATGTAGCAAGAATTATTTTATGATTATTCTGTACATGAACATGAACTTCGTTCTTTATTCATGCATTTGTTGTTCAACATCTTTACAGGCTTTAAACACTTTTGTACCCTACATGACTAAATTTAATTTCAGATATATGGTATCTATTTTTGGACGCTAGCTTGTTCCATATCCTGATTAATTGGGATCCACAGAACACACATGAACTTTTGTAATCTTATCTGGTTTATATTACAGGCAATACATACTACAGAAATGTTGGACTGTTCAGAGCCAGATATAATGGGTATTTTGAAGGAGATGGCATATGAAATGCAGAATCAATCAGCACATAATTTATCTGATGACACAGACGTACAAGATTTTATGGCACTGTTGTGTCAGAATATTGATTCTAGGAATATTCTGACACCTGCAGAACTGTCAGAGTAAGTTCAAATAACCAGTTTGCATTTAGTTTTGGGCTTAGAGTTTTGTGACTATATAGAGTTAAACATGTAATTTTTATGGAATTAACACTGACATATGGTTCAGAACAACATTTTGAAATGGTTACCATGTATTCAAGTTTCTTCTTCTTCTATGGCGCAACAGCCTGAAGTTGAGCCTTGACCTCCTCTCATGTGGGAGATTTCTTTGTCTTTGAAGCAGGCATTTATGAGTAGTGAGTGACAAGCCCACTGCCTCTGCACAATTTCTACTCAATTCTGAGTTGTCTGCTAGAGTGAATCAGGAGGGACATGGGTGAGAAATGTCCACTGAATTTTGCTTATGAAACATTTTGTTCATGCTCGTAAGGTTCTTTTACATGCCGTAAATATATTACATGGGACTGCCGGCTTTGACCTTGGCCAGGTTTGAACCCATGAACCTTGGGTCCAGTGGCGAGCACGCTAACCACTAGTCCACCGAGGGCGATTCAAGTTTCTTAAGGATGCCTCCACACAACACATTTATTGTGGTCAATGAAGCAATTCTGAAAAACCTTAGTATGTATTTTCTGTACCTGGATATTGGGAGCTACCTGGGCTGGTCACTATGGAGAATTTTGTGAACTTTATTTGAGCCCTTCCCTAAAAATTAGTCATAATATCAACAGATATACAGTCAGTTTCTATACAGGACAGAAATGATGTGAACTTAATATGATGAATGGGGAAAGATGTAGAAATAAATTAATATATTTCATGGTACTGTTTTAGCACTTGATCTCAGGAACTGAGGAAAATTACAAAAACCCTTAAATATGATATGTAACCTTGGGCTAAAAAATTGAAACCTGTGCCTCCTAAATAAGAAATATGATGTCCAGTGCAGTGCATTTTAAGAACAACGTTTATGGCAACTGCTGTATGAAATAGTGATAACACTTGGAACTCTGTCAATTGTTTATTTGCATTTGATAATCTCAACGCAAGAGTAAACTCTTCAACACATGCATTCATGTCCTCAGTTTGAAATCTTGCAGGACTTCCAAGCAATAATTGCCATAATCCTGTCACTGAATGAGACTGCATTCACAAATGACACATGGACATGTCATGTCTGGAGATGCCTTGGAATCCTGTGGGTGTTCATGAAAACCATTCTAACTCTTACTACATACTTATCACTTGCATACATTAGCAGTGAATATGAATGTTTTCATGTGGATGTAGACGTGTGTGGGGTGCATGCACATGTGTTATTTTATTAATAATAAATTACATGTTCATATCATACAGGTATGAAAATATGGTAGAGGCTGGTGAGGTTCTCCATGGAAAAGAATTTGAAGATGCATTCAGTGAGTTATTCCCTGATGGTCTTCAACAAATTGAAGAGGAAGATAATTGCTTCATCACTGAAGAAATAGAGATGGCTGACTTTCATAACAGTACAGTTACCCAGCTTCAGAGGACACTGATGTAAGAGAAAGCAAATTGAAAATCTAAGACTTTTTTATTACTTTTCATAAAACATTATCACATCTCTGCATTTTATCCACTCCCTCCCTTTCTTTTTCTGCCATCATATTAAATGACATTTACTTTGTAAATGTTAATTCAGATTGCCCATAAATTACTAGACGTATGTAAATATAAGATGTTGAACATTTTTTCCATTGCAGTGATGAAATCCAGCATGTGAGTTCTGGTTTGCACCAGCTAGAAGAGCAGGAGCAAGGAGCGTATTACAGTCTGCTAGCAGAGGGACAGCATTGCGTTAAACTTCACACAAGAGTTTACTCTGCTCAAGAAGAGTTGCTTAAACAGCTACAGTGTCTTGCAGAGTTGTTGGCTGAATTTAAAAATGTGGTAAGTTTTTTTATTTATTTATTTATAATAATACACGGTGTTAGATTCTTGCATAAAATGAAGCTGACAGTAGGCATCAAGGAAAACTTCAGATAATTATTGGTAGCAAAATAGTGTTAAGAAACTATGATAGATTTATTATTTTTAAGTCCAGCATTGTAATTAAACACATTGTTTGCTTACACTTTTTACTATATATTACACGTGCATCCTCAAGAGAGTGTTAACCATTCATGTGATCTGTTTTAGTATTAACATAATAACACGAAGTAGTAAATCTTTGTACGTACTTGTACTTTGTTATGAAAGTGAAAACATGAAGACTGAAATTCCTATAATGAGAAAAATGACTGAATGTTTCCTATGTAAAGTGGCAGTATCTCTGATGGGTTCGCTCCTTGGAAGGAGATCAGTGGATGGCAAATGAGAATGAAAAGATAATGTTAAAATAAATTTTAAATAAATAGTTTTATGCAAAGTGGATTGATCTGGAATCTCGTAATGGTGTCGTGTTAGAAATCTGCTGGTTATACTAGAGAGGTTGTTAGAATGGGGCACATTAGTGGCGCTACTACCAGAGAGGGTTGATGGTGTTAATGTAATAATGAATAAAGTGGTACACAAATATATGTTACTCTTTTGCAGAAAAACAGAGACCAATTTTACAATCATAAAATGAGTGTCGTGATTAATTGGCCATGTACAGAACATAATGCATTTGAAGTTTCCATAATTCTGAATAGTATTTCATTGAATGACAGGGTGTTCATGTGATTGTGTTTATTAATATTTATAGCGTTCATTTCAGAAATCTGTGCCTAAGCTGATAAGCCAGCTGCCTTTAGAAACTTACAGAAAACGATGTCAATTCGATCGTTATGTGAAGGTGATGATGAAGCAGTTCTTGGAGTGGGTATGAATAATTTATTGTCATATGTTTTAATTTCAGTAGTTAATAGTAGAATTCATATAGGATTAGTATTAGTTTAAATAGAACAATAGTTTGCATAAACTTACAATCACATTTTAATTATGTGTTTATTTACCAGTGTCATATCCACATGTTTTTACCACTATAATGTGTACTACAAATAGGTATGTTTTCATATTTTTGTCTGATGATCAGATAAGCTATCAAAATGTAAGATTTGAGGTTTTCACAGTTGTGAATATGAAGATTTCTGTCTTCTGGGTTGTTGCGCTGAGTAGTCTGGTCGATGTTAACCAACGTTTCAGAGGTCATACTGCCTCTGTCATCAGGGCGATGAAGATTTCTGTCTTCTGGGTTGTTGCGCTGAGTAGTCTGGTCGATGTTAACCAACGTTTCAGAGGTCATACTGCCTCTGTCATCAGGGCGATGAAGATTTCTGTCTTCTGGGTTGTTGCGCTGAGTAGTCTGGTCGATGTTAACCAACGTTTCAGAGGTCATACTGCCTCTGTCATCAGGGCGATGAAGATTTCTGTCTTCTGGGTTGTTGCGCTGAGTAGTCTGGTCGATGTTAACCAACGTTTCAGAGGTCATACTGCCTCTGTCATCAGGGCGATGAAGATTTCTGTCTTCTGGGTTGTTGCGCTGAGTAGTCTGGTCGATGTTAACCAACGTTTCAGAGGTCATACTGCCTCTGTCATCAGGGCGATGAAGATTTCTGTCTTCTGGGTTGTTGCGCTGAGTAGTCTGGTCGATGTTAACCAACGTTTCAGAGGTCATACTGCCTCTGTCATCAGGGCGATGAAGATTTCTGTCTTCTGGGTTGTTGCGCTGAGTAGTCTGGTCGATGTTAACCAACGTTTCAGAGGTCATACTGCCTCCGTCATCAGGGCGGTGAATCGCCCTGATGACGGAGGCAGTATGACCTCTGAAACGTTGATAAACATCGACCAGACTACTCAGCGCAACAACCCAGAAGACAGAAATCTTCAAGCTATCAAAACATTGTGGATTTTACATCGGTGAATATATCGTTATAACAGGATTATTTATATTTGATGGATTTTATAAATACTTAAAATAAGTACACAACAGCATTTGTCAATGTAAGATTAATAGTAACAGAAGTAATGGCAATAATAATTATTGTAACAGTAGATAGTAATAATTGTAACAAAATAACATTTTACAAGCTTCCTAATGTCTAATGGTCATGCCAAAAGAAGGAAATTCTGGTTGTCATAATGGTTATTCTGTGGGAAGCAGCGGATGTAGTTTTATTAGGTATTGAACTTTTTACAAATCATAATGATTATTTTGGAAATATTGCAATTTGGTTTCAACTTCATATGTAGATTACAATTAATTTACTCAGCCCATGAACACCTGTAGGATATATATACATAATTGCTAGGTATTAAATCAATTGAAGTGCATAGTCAGAATTTCACCATTGAAAAAAGAAAAGAAAAATTATTTATGAATGAATATGAAGTATAAGTAATTTGCAATATATTAATGCAAATAATGAAATCATAGCATTGTTCCATGCATAAGTTTGCAGCAGCAACTTATTTACATTAGTTGCACATATCAGAATATTTAATCATTTATATTTGCTTTGAATGAATTTCTGCAGAAAATGTTCTTTCTTGGATGTTTCTTCCTGATTAAAGTTTAAAGATTGGTTCAGTGTAATTAGAAATATTACAGTTTTATAACAAATTGCGTTATGTTTGTATGTATGATGGAGGTGTTCAAATTTTTCAGGATGAATCTTCAGTTGGAGAGGATGAAGATGACCACTTGGAGGATCTGGAACAGAGGTAAAAGCATTATATAGTTAGTGTTGGAAAATGTGTTTTCCTATGTACGTTGGGAATATTGATGTTTTAATTTCGTGTCTATTAACATGCCTGTGTTCTTACTTTATTGACAGAATTATGAATATTATTTCTGTTGGGAACTCAAACCTTACTAAACTTTCTTATGAATATCCTGTGACTTCATAGTGGAATTACACTTCGTGTAAAATACACGTAAAAGCAACTTATCCATGGCCTACTCAGAGGGAATCTTGATCAACAATGAGTCATTATTGTGATATTTTTGTTTGGGCCATTATCCATTGTTTATTAATTAAATTTATGCCAACATAAACACTGAGTGATACTTGAATATCACAAGAACGTGTAATACCTTATCCTTGCTAATCATCGCTTCTTACTTGCAGCATTTGACACAGAGATCGCCATGGCTTGGTATAGGTACCATATATCCTTCCTTTTCAGAAATTTAAAATAAAGTACGTCATATTTCTTTTTCAGCTTTATTGAAATGAAGATGGAATATGTATATATGTTGGCATGTCATCAAGGAAAAGAGGCAGTCATTGGAAAATTGAAGGATATTATGAATGATATACAGGCATCAAAATTTACTGTTTCATTCAGTGAGATAAGGTTTGTAAAGTTAAACACTATCACACATTGCATTAGTCAGATTTACGGGTATCATATTGAGTGTTGTAAGTGTTCTGTTTGAAGCCATTTTTCCTTGTTCAGTTTTTTATAAGGGCTAATGGAATGCATTCTATTAAGTTGTAAAAGTTTTCTTTGCCTTGCTTTTATATTTCGACCTCAGACCGGTGGAGCCAAGTTAGCTCCAGGAGAGCTCAGTCTGTATAGTGGGCTAGACAGTTGGGATTCACTTCCTGACAGGGGCAGACATTCTCCTCTTCATCACTGTACCCAGTCTGGCTCTGGGGCTCAACCAGTGGGTACCAGGGACTCTATCCTCAGGGTTGAAGCAGTCAGGTCAGGAAGCTGACCACTTACATCTTTCTAATGCTGAGGTTAAGGCAATGTCCTACGTAAGCATACCCGAGCTGCATAAGCAGCATGGGGTGTCATAAGAATCGGGGAATCGCTTGTTGTGTCCTACATAAGAGACCGCAATAGAAGCACACGGCCTTCCTGCGCATGCACCTTTCCTGTACTGCACGGTCAAAGCTTTCTTGCGCATGCGCTTTATTGGCCAGCATAGTGACTTGCGCGAAAATATCAAAATATTTGCTCTCAGACTTTGGCCGCTTCCCTCTCCTGACCGCTTCGCTGGAACCTGGGACAGCGCCACACAAACAGCCAGTTTGATATTTCTGCTTCACCCACGCAACTCACACCGCTCGCATTTAATCACTCACGTAGGACAGCGGGTAAGAATGTGTGGTGATACCTCCACTGCCACAAACATCTTCATGGTCATTCTTAATTCGGTACAGGGAAAACTTTACTTACATTTTACAGTAAAGTTAACGTTTTTATTCCTGGGAATAGTATTGTGTGAGAAGTTGATAAGTACAAAATTGTCATACTTTGAAATGCTGCTGTTCTTATTACTGCATGAAACAGTAACAGAGAAGAGAAACTAGATGTTGGTGAATGGAAATGGAAGATTGCAAAGCAACTGTCCCACATTCCTCATTGTAATTTTAGGAATTTCTTGAAGAGCTGAAAAGTCAGTAGGACTTGATAGTTTATAATAGATGCATTCTACATTATTAGAATTTGTTGACTTGTTGCTAGTAATTGTTATAAGTAAAATAATGCTGTTATGGTGTTTTATACTGAAAATTATATTTAGGTTCGATTTTACAGTCATACTTAAATTTGCCATCATTTGATTTTAGCAGTCAGTCTCTGTTGCTTGATGAGGAGGTCAATGAAGGAAAGAGACAAGTCTCACATATGCTTGAAAATGAAGTGTTGCCAACAGTAGAACAGGCTGTTAAAATGGATGTCTTGCAAATAATGAAGTATAAGAATGAACACAAAATTTTCAAACTGAAGAGAATTTTCAAGCAAAATGATTCTTTGGCTAGATGCCTGGAACGTGGACTTACAAACAGTGAACTGCTTCTCTTATTGTTGGTTTGTGAGAGGCAGAAGTTAACAGACATGGCAGATCTGTATGAACAGTGTCACCAAGAAATAACTGAAGAGTACACAGACTTTACATCACGCATGGTAAGAGTACCATTATTTTTAATTTCTAAGAGTACTTTAAGAGAGAAGAGATTTCTGTTAATATGGAAGTTACTAATTGGTACATATGAATCTAGCCAAAATCATTACATTTTAATCTCCAAATTAAGTTATTCTTCTTACAACATATCTGATAGGTAAGAACATATACGTAGAATTCCACAAGATTGTAGCTGGAGTGTAAAACTTAAACATGTGGTTTTCCATTGTCATTCTGGCCCGGGGGCATGATGCTGACCACTCACTTCCATCAAGTGCCAAGGTTAAGAATTGAGTAGGATGTGTACCACCTCTTGTCCAAAGTGCCTACGTGGCATATAGTGCGACAGCTTCACATTACTTTACTTTATTGACAGTAGAAGCAATGTCTTACAGTTCTTCAGTGTATAAATTAAATCTTCGGTCGGACACAAGATGCCCTGACTTTTTATCGCTTTCTCAAGTCTTTTGGTTGTTTCATTAAGAGGTCTTAAAAGAGGCCATGATTGCTTCCCTCACATCTATCCTGATGCACCATTCATAGTTGTAAAACATTCCACATTTGAATTCATGAATTTGTTGTTTCTGTTTCAGAAAGTAATGCAGGAATTGAGAGAAAACAATTGCAGTTCTTCATTAGTAATGGAAAACCCGCTTGTTCAGTGTTTGGTGCGGCTGCTTTGTGATGAACACTCTGTGAATTCTGCTACAGTTATCCATGATTTGATGATAAATGTTAAGAATTTGAATAAAGACATAAGAAACCAAGAGGAAAAGTTATTTGATTCTTTGTTTAACAAGCAAAAGAGTGTTCTTCTTCAAAAGTAAGTTTATAGTTTTCCTTTAAAAGCTTTGTAAGACTGTATCAGTAACAGGGTTTTTAAAAAATACATTTCAATTATCAGAATCAGAAGACCTGGGCATAGATGGGAATGTAAAAGAGTATGAAGCATACTGGATTTAGCTGGCTCAGGATAGAGTACAGTGGTGTGATTTTGTGGACAAGATAATTAATCTTTAGGTACTATAATAGGTGAGGAATTTCTTGACTTTGCATCTCAAGAAGTATTCTGCTTCATGGAGTTATTTTAAGATTCAGGAAGGAAATTCAACTTGAAATCATGATAAAGAAATTTTGTATGCTTTTCATTTTGTTGTGGGATCTTCTACTTTCTTTTTTTACTTTCATGTACTACCTGCTCATGTACTGACTTTCTTGAACTTCTTTTTTATTTTAGTGAAAATGCTATTAAAACTGCAGAGAAATATCTTTATGCTGGACTTGCAAAAAAACCAGTGCTTCTAAGAATGGAAATTTCTGCTAGTTGTAATGACATTGAACGGCTACTGGAATCATTTCAAGACGTGCTGAAACAAATTAAAGATGATTATAAGAGAAAACAGGTTAGTTACAGTTGCAGTAGAAAGCGTGCAAGAAATAAATTAAATTTTAGTTTTTTTACAGCCGAAATGTAAGGTTTCAGCATACTGCATATCATGTTTTGATGTTCTGTCTAACTGAAAACAGAGCTGTAACATTGTTCTCAAGTTACTGATATTTATGTTTTTATGTAAGATGTTCATAAATATTTGAGACAGTTTCTTAATGAAAGCTAAAGGCACCTCAGAGATGTTAGTCGCATGAGTTGATGCATTTCTGCACATACTTTTCATTATTCTATGAATTTCATGGGTTTGAGTCCAAAATCTAAAATAAGGGAAATTTGTTCTCTATTTAAATACATGTTTTGGTTCATATCATACAAGAATGTTTTATAAGTACATCATTGAAGATAAACGTCAGGGTGTAAAATAGAGTGAATTTAATATTTGTCGCATACTGCATCAAGATGCGTGGGGTTGCTGCCAGAATGTATAAAGAAATAAATGAGTATTATTGAATTTGTTTTCAGGTAGCCTTTTCAGAGAAGCCATTCCTTCAAGAACAGCGATTGCTTTGGATTCACTTCCTAATGTATCCCAAGAAACTTGTTGCTTTGGTTAGACAACTTCAGGAATTAACGGAAACCAAAATTAATCATAACAAGTTGAAGTATCACATGAAGAAGAGAAGAGAGACTCGTTTCTTTCCACAAGGAATGCAAAAATAAGTTGGTAATTCCTTTTATAATATGTAGTTTAATGGTGATTTATAACTATGGAGAGTGTAATAGGTCTGAGTAGTAAGTTTGGTATCACAACCTTGGTCCTTGAGGCTTTATCTATCCTGGTATTTGGCTCACTGAGAGTACAGAAGTTAACTTTAGTTGTTGTACTGGCATGTACTGCAGGTCTGAAGAAGGCATTTGGCTGAGAGATATAAATATATAGATAAACATACACAAAAATATACAACATTTAATTTATTTATAAATATTTGGTATATAATAAAATGTAATCAAAATATTTAGTACAAAATAGTTTTACCATTATTACCAACCTTTATTTTATACTATTTTCATGGCTTATTACTTCAATATAGATGTGTGACACCTACTCTGGGTTTTGTTCTCATTGCACTTAAAAATCTGCATATATTTGGAGCTACTAGTTTCTCTAACATGCAAAGCATTTTTTCTTGAAAAGGGTACACTTCTTTCTGTTATAATGCAAATTCGATTATAAATGTCTTTTGTTTTTCATTCAGTGATTTACAGAATGCACATAAGAAAGTACTTGAACAAAAATAAATCATTTTTTCATTAATTATGAATAACTTAATGTTACTTTAAACTCCTGCATAGTACCTTGCTTTCTATATGTTTGTTTGTATGTATTATAGATTTTTCATTCTGTGGACAGTGAAACAATTCAAAACCAGGATATGCCTCAAGTGAATCAAGCCAAATGGTTTTCTCTATCATTCCTAAAACAATAATCTCTGGGAAGAATTTGCGCTAGCTACATTCTTTCAAATATGTTATTCTATATAGTGAGGCTTGCAAGGACTATAATTTATTAATTATACTATTTAGTAATATACTTTTGTGCAGAATTTACACTAATACCTCAGAAGTTCACATGACCAGTATGCTGGTATTACTGAAAGTAAGAAATATTAAATTGTAAAGGTTGGGATGGCCTGTGGTATGATCTTCATTTCAGGTCTCATGAATATCTATTAGTTGCTTCAAAAGTTTAATTGATGGTGGGATTGCAGGGTGCGTATTATGGATTGAAAAAGAGCATAGGACGGTATAAAGTTATTTGATGTTTTTTCTTGTCTCCAATGATTTTTCAGTTAAAGTCTGTTATGCTTTTAACTATGTGTAGTTCTGCAAAATAAACCATCATTTTGGTGTAAGAAGAATGCCCAGTTAGGTTTAAGTATGTCTCTAATGTAGTAAAGTTGGTATTTGTAAGTGCATTATTAACAAAGAGCTCTTGAGAATCTCCAAATCTCATTCTCATCCTTGCCCAACACTGCTCTGTTGAAGTCCTTTCATGCCAGTAATTACTTCAATGTGTATTGGGTTACTCAGATCTATAGAAAATTGATTGTTGTGGGAGTTGAACTCTTGGTAGGAGTTGTCTGCAAGAAATGAAAACAAACGTTTATAAATTATTCAACATTTTTACTGCTGTGTGTAAGAACATTATTTTCTTGAGCATAATACATCTTTCCCTCGTCAATTTGGCGGATACCAAAATGGTGGAGGAATGGAGGAAAAAGGGAAAGGTTGGCATTCAAATAAAACCTGGCATGACACAGATAACAGTTTCCAGTATTCACTGTCACAGCATTCTCTCGCATCTCCAAATACTGAAGTACAGTGAAATCTCAGTTACATGCTTCTAGGGATCTTAAGTTTTTCAATATCATATAAAGATAGCAACTTATAAAATTAAATGAAAGGGAAACAACTTTTATTCAGGCACAGAAACAAATGTTAAAAAAAATAAGAACTTAATAGTAAGCGTGCTTTGTTACATTAACCTATTTCAGAATGTAGTTCTTGTGTGACAAGGACTGTTATTATTTATTTTCATTTGATTCATTAATTTTATTTAAGGATTTCCAAAATTTCTTGCTTGAAACTAAACAAATTTAGATTATATAAATTGATTTTCAGTGCACATTAATTTGATATACAGTATATATGTTAATTAATGTTTATCATAGTGAAATTTAACTGTTCACTTTTAACTTCATTTCAGTTTTGAATATCTATATGGTAAAATGTTGTACATGAACATGAAATCATTATTAAACATAAAATTAAAAATGCACTCACATGTACATTTCTGATCTTGAAATATATTTTTCTTTCAAATTATGATCATAAGGATATAGAAAAATTATGTGATGCCAGATTTGTTACAAAGTGAAATTCAAACCTGTGAAGTTTAGACTGGATATAATGCGATCTAGCACGGCTTGATCCACTGTAGTTTTTACTTTGGTTGTTGAGTTGTTCATGAGACTGCGCTTCAGCCGACCAATCAGAGGTAGAGTGTACTCAGATTCATGCAGAGGTGTGTCATCAGAACCAAAATCCTTTAACAGAAATCAGATCATAGAACTTGAGAATTTCAGGTCAGTGTTGGTCTTCTGGATTGTAATGCCATGTGAACTTGCAGGTAGATAGCACAAACACTAATTGATAACCTATCTTGAAATGTCACCATTGTGTGAAAATGATTACTGGCACATATTAATAAGTCTATACATATTTAATCATGATGGTTACACTTACCAAGCATTTTCCACTAACACAGTATGCTCTCTTTTCAAGTACTCCACGACTGCAGTCTGTTCCAAATGGAAACCAGCCGTCTTCTCCATTAACTAAATAGAAACGATGGTTCACTTCATCATCTTGGCAGGCTACACGACACGGGCGGTCAGGATCCTCTACATTTAGAAATGTATATCATTACTTCCTTATTCTGATTATACTATAATGTTCTTATCATCTGCCTCACTTAAATATTGTGTATGATAAAGAGATACAGTTTATTACTGACTATAGTTAATACCATTTCTGCTGTTCTATGTACTGGATCCCCCCCCCCCAATTTTCATGACGCTAAATTGAAGTTTTAATTAACCTTCAACATTTAAATTTGATTCATCTAAAACAACAAAACCACCTCCAAATACTATGTAGTAAATTGTTCATAGGCTTGTTTATGAAGGGCAGTAAGTTGTATACTGTATTACATGCTCAGGTTGTGTCAAACTGATCAGATGACTGGAGTACATGCACTTGCATTTCAAAAATATTCTCACTCTTATTCATCCCACAGAAATTTAGGAACTCTACCACCTTAAAGTGTTACTATTGGACTATTCAGAGGAAACAGAACATTTTCAGTGAATTAGGACAAATTTATGTTGGCTTCTGAGGCACAGTAAATATATATTGCAGTTAGTAGATATAAATATTCCTAAACCCCAAAGTCTCTGTCTCTTTAATAATGCCTGGACTAGCTGCTTTCATTAGTAGTGTGCCTACACGTTTAGGGAATATGATGGATTGGATGAAAAACAAGATGATAAAAGTATATGTTGTGCACTTAGTAGGTGTGTCTGGCAGAAAAAAAAATTAAGAAGGTTGGAA